TACATTTATGATGAAATTGAACTAAAATAATGACGACAGTTGTAGAAATGAGCCTTGTACTACATCATTCTTTGAAATATCAGTTCCTTCATAGTTTAGTTTCAGTAATAAGTGAATGGAATGCAGTCTACAGATTCATGAAATTCGCATACTGACGTACTACTTTCCTAGAATCCTAGTTGATGTCTCCTCAGGAAAGTGGGAAATGATCATTCCACTTGCGTAAACTCAATAGGCTGTGAACTGCTGACAATGAAAACGACAACAATTTTTGGTATTACTTAATTCCAAAAACGATCACATGATCTTTTATTCCGACTTCCGGTTCCATCAGATGAAATTAAAGGGAAGAGCTGAGAATAGAGGGGATGTTGAGGGTTAGACAGTATAGATTTAGACCATTTCTCACATGAGTTTAGATGTCTTGTAAGCAATGCATTAACGAGTTGACTAAATGGTACACCACTTGCCCTACCGACAACCTTAATACCTTGCACAATACGACATAGTCGTTTTTGAGTAATTCAGGAAAGAATAAGGGGGAGCAGTAAAGACAAATGCAAGAGTTAACAAGTTGTAAAAAGAGAGGTTGAATGATTCCTGACTGTCTTGACTACATAACGTGGTAAGCTAGACTGAAGGTTTTCTTGGAAATCAACAAGATATAGAATGACCAAGAAAGACCAGAGGATAGGTTTACTCCAAGGTATTTCATGTTAGACTTAGTTTCTGTTCCAGTGCCCTCTTTGATACAAACATCTTGTGAACGACACCGTTCTTGCAGTTCACGCTTATGAGTGAGGGGAAAGTTAACTGCCTGACTTTTAGAGGGATTTAACGCAAGACCACGTACCTTAGACTACAGACAGGAACCAGTTAAGTTTGCTGCAGTCACGTTGTAACATGACACGAAGTGAGACGGTCAGATCAACAGCGTATTTGACGAAGTTGCTCTCATTAGAAAGAGAAAAGTTATGTAAAACGAGAGAGAAAAAAGAAAAGGAGTGATAAAAATAGCCTGAGGAACACCAGCTTCAGCAAGCGAGGCGGAATATTTACCCTAATATACAGTATGCTGCACTCCATTTGAGAAATGATAATGCAACCAATCAACTACCCAGGACCCAAGTTTGCACGATCGAAACCTTATTCAACTAAAGTCATCTAGGCGCTGAGTCAACAACAACGGCGAATGCTGAATGACTGAAAGCTAAGCACAAATGTGACAAAGCACAAATCCAGTTGCAAAGTAGGAGACGAGTCCCGGGAGGAAGAAGAGATTACTGAAAGGTGTCTATTTTTCATTTGGCAAAGAACAAGATTAAGAACTACACTTATCATTTGTTGAAATTTTGGAGATCATTTATCAATGTTTCGCATTCACTTATATCTAGACTGTGTCATTCTGACTAGCTTTCAGCATGAGTTTGCAGAGAAGTCCACCTGTTTAATTTACCACATTTCATGTAGCACACAAAGGTAGAGGCATAAAACTAAATGGAAGTTTAACGAGCGAAAATGTGAGGGAGAATAAATAGTGACAAGGAAAAACATGAGTTGAATAGATATGTGAGATTACACAGAGTGAGTGCACCTGTACCAGTACCAAAGATTTGCAGTCACATCTCCGGTAGTTCTTCCAGCTGACTGTCAACAATTTTATGAACCAATATCACTTTTTCATTTGACCGACCCAAACACATTTTAAACCTTAACATGCGCTGGCTAGCATTTTCCCTGGAGATAGGCGATGGCTGGGTATGCCAGCACGCGTTCTAACCATCTCAGCCTATTCAGCTTTCCTACCTTGAAGACTAACCCTCCCCACCTAAACATCTATGCGTAACCTCAACAGCACTCGCCATATTATACTGCTTTACTCATGAGATAGAACGCGGACACCTATAATCAAATACCGGTATTATTTTCATATTTTACAGCATCAGAGGTTACTTCTCATAGTCTAGGTGGACAATATCATCAGTAAACTGTGAGTTGATGAGACTATTCCCTGATAAGTCTCTAAAGTCAATTACAGATTATTCTACTAATATATGTGTGATTGAATTGAGCTGATATAAGGATGACAGTTTAAGAATTCAGCCTTGTATTACATCCCACTCGGAAATGTGTTTTATCGGATAATTCGCAAACAGTATTCAGTGAATAGAAAACATTCTGTAGGCTTAATGAAGCTCGTAAACTGACGCACTACTTTTGCAGGCACTATAGTATTTCCTCAATAAAGTGAGAATTGAATATTTCGGCTGCATAAAACGAGTAAGTAGTATCCTGGGAATACCAATGACTACAACAAGTCTAGGAGTTATGCACTACAACTTTTACTTTACTGAATACACCAGCAGACTTTACATAAACACTTGACAGATCAAAGTTATACAGGAAGTCAGTAAGATTTAGTAAACTAGAAGTGCTTTCGGTTTCCACAGGAGTTCTCCGTGCCGAATTTATTCCTTCAAGGGCCTACAGAGATTAAATCTTCAATTAAATAACACTGACGTGGAAGAAATTCCATTCTTCATTACTACACTTAATGAAAAGAATCATGTTTTTTATTTTAAAAACAGGAGAATTCGTAATGTTTTACTTTATGTAAATGCAGTTGCATACAGTTGCACTAAGAACTCAACGCAACTCGATACACAATGGTATATATACAAATAAACTGAAAAATAATGTCCTACTTACCTTCTGAACAACTTGTCTTTATTCCAGGATTACAATTTTTTCACCTATGAGCCTGAGTTATGCCTACGAAATCGCAATATTACATCAGTTAAATCTTCCCCCAAAACCAAGGCCACTTGAAACTAATAGCAACATAGCAACAAGCGTCATTGAGGGGATATGCAATAAAGTCGCTCTTCACACGATGGCAGGAAGCAGTACCCATCAAGGACGTATCTGCTGAAACAGTCACACGCGTCTCTGTGGAAAGATGGATCGCTAACTTTGGATGCCCATCTTCCATAATAACTGATCGCCGGCGGCAATTCGAAAGTGGCTTATTCTTCCCCCGGACTAAAGTCATAGGTTGCATGCGTTTTTGAACAACAGCATACCATCCTCAAGCTAATGGTATGGTAGAACGTCTACACAGACAGTTGAAAGCTGGTTTGTCAGCTGCAAACAACATCCATTGGACTGAATTCCTTCCGTTAGTTCTCCTAGGGATACGAAACGCCCTGAAAGCCGGTGCTGGTTGTACTAGCGCCGAGCTGGTATATGGCACGACACTACGAATGCCTGGTGAATTTGGATCTCCCTCAAGCTTCCCACCAGCGGTAGATCACGCTTCATACTCCAGCAGGCCTACAAACGCAATGCGTTCAGTTAAACCTAACCCCCTTCGCCAACGGTCCATTGATGTCTTCGTTCACCCGTGTTTAAAACTTCACATGTATTTATTCGTCGTGACTCTGTGCGTAGACCTCTGAAACCCCCATACGACGGACCTTATAAAGTAATTAAACGTTCGGATAAATTCTTTGTCTTGGACAAAAAAGGCTGCGAGGACACCGTCAGCATTGATCGTCTGAAACCGTCTTACTTGGAGGGTAATCCTATTAGCATAGAGCTAAGCGTACCCCATAATCCACAAGTAACCGAAGACCGTTTAGTTCTCGATGAAGTCACTAGCACGGCGACAGCTACCGAATCTTCTGTCGAGGCCCCCTAAGAAAACCCGTTCCGGACGTACTGTAAGGTTCCCAGGATATCTTCACACCTATATAACATATAAAGTCGTGTGACTCAACCAACTCATTCGTTTGCGGTACTTATTATTTTTTTAGACGCATCAATTTTTTATATACAGTGTCATTAAACACAAGTAAATTTTTTTCTTTAACAGTACATGTTACATGTACCGAAAAAATTAGATGCATACTTTTTTGATGTTTTAAACTTTGCATTATTTTACTGTATGGTAAATGCACACCATTTTTTAAAAAAAGACGCTGACTGGGTACATTTTCCTCAACAAGGTTCTTAGCGTTCTTGTTTTCTTTTCCAGGTGCGACGGGCACTGGGCAAGAAACAAACGAATCACGGCACCCAACGAAGAACCTCAAGGAAGCTACGTACAAACACCCTATCAGCATAGGCAGACAAACCAGGAAGCGCGCCACCAAGCCGCTCGGAAGATTTTTCACCCGAAAAGGAACTGTCGAGTTTTTTACTTCCGGCTGGTTGTGTCTTAGAGTGAGCTGTAGTGGTAAATAATTCCCCAAAATTATTGACCATAGGAATCATCAGTGAACATTGGATGCTGACATTTTGAGTTTAAGTCGACTTGTTTAGCTGAAGGCTTTCGGTCAAGCATCCCCACCATTTGGTACTCCGTCGTGTCACTGTCGTGCACGATAACGAGCTAGCTTAGCTTCCACTTCAATCCTCGAGTTGGTTCCGAAATATATATCGTAATGTGGACAACCGATTGTGGTCTTGCTTTGCCTTTGGTGTGCGAGATTCAAATACGTTAGAAGTTGTTGGTGTAAGATCTTACGTTAATATACTCAGTACTGTGCGCGAACGTCTATACCGTCAACCTTTAAAAGTCCTAAGATTGCATTTACAGCTGTTTCCAGGCAAACTATAGCGAAGCGACACAGAAGTACATCTGCTTGCTAGTACAGTTGCAATCCCGTCCAATATTGTAAATATTATCGTTAAGCCCCGCATACGACAATTTTAGACCATTACCGCCCCCCGTCATTCCTGAGGTTACAACGGGTCGCATAGTATATTGGTGAAGTTAAAACAAATGGTTGTGAAGTCACGATTTTGACATCGAAAATTCAGATGATTTCAAATATATTGGATATTTAACTAAAATTCAATTGAGATATCGCCTATTCAAATTCGACAATTTGCTCAATTTCAATAACACCGAGTACTTGCGTTTAAACTGCATACCGCGTTTATTGGTTACTGTGTGTACAACCTGAGATTGTTCTGCTGAGTATAGGGTTGACACTATGGAAATCGTGGCAACTCAAACTGTCTCAGGCAGCGATAATCTCAGTCACAGTGTAGGTATTATAAATAACCAAATATATTGTATGCCACTGCCTAAAGATATCGATGAAGCTGGTATTCCCTGGAAGCCAGATAGAAAAGAATACAAATCAACTGCAGTTGGGTATGTGACCACTTATTGTTATTTGTTCAGGTTGCACGAAGAAATAATAGACTTCTTCGACTACATATCTCCTACACCGGAAGAACAGTTTGTTCGCGAAATGGTCGTTGCCAGAGTCAAAGAAGTGGTATATGGCCTTTGGCCGGACTGTAAAGTATGTCTTATAACTCTTGATCTAGTTTGAATTAAAGGTTGATATATTTGGAAGTTTCAAAACGGGATTGTATCTGCCTACAAGGTTAGTAGTCAACCATAGTTCACTCCTTTTCTAGTGACATTGACATGGTAATATTTGGTGATTGGGATGCTCTACCACTGCACACTTTGAAACATGCATTGTACAAAAGTGGCATTTCATCGAAAATCACGGTGTTAGATAAAGCTACGGTAAGTTACTATGCATCTTTCACTCAATGTGTAGGTCCCGATTGTTAAGATGACGGACAGGGAAACAAATCTCCGTGTTGACATAAGTTTCAACATGAAGAATAGTGTCAAAGCGGCAGAATTAATTTTGTCTTACATGAAGACTTATCCATGCCTTCCATACCTGGTGTTCGTATTGAAACAATATTTGCGTCGACGAGGTTTGAATGAAGTGTGGACGGGCGGATTAAGTTCATACGCACTCATACTAATGTGTGTCAGTTTTTTGCAAGTAAGTCTTGAAATCTTGGTAACTGCCATCACAAATTTAGCACACTTGATTCGCCTGTATAATACAACATAACTGGAATGTAATCTGATCTTTAGATTAATCATGGCATGTTGAAGCGATCTATTTATCTGTTGGTTATGCTAAGAAATTGAGGTGCAGTAGTGCTATGACATATACGTAGAGACGATACTTTTCGCTTAACAAGCTGATTCTCGGAGTGGTTGAGACGTAGGTAGTTTGCGATCTGTAGAGCGGTGCCGCTAGTGGGGGGGGGGGAGAAATAAGCAGGATATATTATCACCTGAGATACAAAATGACAAAATAACATCACAACCGCGTAGGTGACTGGAAATAAATGTGATGGGCGTAGCCTTCTCATGTAAAACGCTTAAGAGTCCCACGATCGATCTACACTCGCCGGTGAAACCCTTCAATCTATTTTGTTTGTATAACAGAAGCTGGGAAATACATCAACTTGGAGGCATTCAAATGCTCTGTAGGGAGCTGACAGTAATGTTTTGACCCCACACAGACGTTGTGAGCTCCAGGTCATGGTTAAGAAACAATGCTTAGTCAGTCAGCTTAGTTCCCGTACCTCATTGCTGTTGGTAGACGAAGTAATTTTGAAACTGAAGTGTCCAGAACTGATCGTTTATGAATCACTCTCCTCGTGAAGTTGATGATGCATTGTTGTCTTGGCTAAAATGGGTGAACTGGGGTTTGTTTCTGGTTGAATAAAGTCAATTACTGAGTAATTTCGCGTGTTAAACTTGAAACTCGTCAACACACTCATTGAAGTTTTAATCGTCCAATGATTACATCGCTCATCGAATAAAGGTAGGTGTTGCAAAGGAAATCGGTCAGTAGTGTGTGTGAATCTTTCCAAGTCTCCATATCATTGGTGAACTCTGAACAGGATGAATAATTTGCTAACGTTATCTCACCTACATATAGTTGTAAGGGGTCTAGGATGATGCCTTATGAGACACCAACCTTCACTACTTACAGTGAAGTCAGGATCTCATTAATACTTACCCTTACTTCCATCCCTGAGAAAGTTGTCGATCTACGCTTTTGTTGTTTATTGATTCCATTACCACTCGAATCCTTTGGGAGCGTGAAAGTCCATGTCACTCACAAAAATATTAGCATTGACTGAGTTAGATCAACTTTCTCAGGGCGAGAGGTGGTGGTCAATCGAGCAAGAATGACCTGTTCTAAAGTCATTCCATTCCTCAATAAAACACTGACTACTATTTCCATGGTAGTAAACAACGAAACTGACCGGATGAATGGGTCTGTAGTCCTTGGTCAAATTGATAACTTCACTTTTGGATTAATGATGAGTTCCTTTTAATTATTTAGGGACATGAATTCGCCTTTGAATATTTGTATTATTCTATTGTAATTGCACAGCAGAAACGTTTTGTGAATTTAATTAACTGTCGCTTACTATACTAATTTTAGCACACAACATTCCCCGGCGTTGCCATCTGTAATATCAACTTGGGCGTCTTGCTTGTGGAGTTTTTTGAACTTTATGGACGACTTTTTAATTATATGAATACGGCCATCCGCGTTACTAATGGCGGTTGTTATGTTCGCAAAGAGGTTGTGCAACGAAATATGGAAGGGAATTTGCGTCCATCGTTTTTTTGTATTGAAGATCCACTCTGTCCGGGTAAGTGTTAACTATTTATGTGATAATAATAGTTTTTTGCTTTATTATAGAAACAGTACCAGTGGTGCAGTGTGGAATATTCAGCACATATCTACAATATTGCATCTAATTTCATTGCACACTTCAAAATATTACAAAAAATCAAATATAATAAAAACAAAAACAATGTAGAAAATTAACAAGTAGAAAGGAAGATCTGTCTGTCTGGATTCAACATAGAACTTGGCACCGAAGTGCAGCAGTTCGAGTTGCATACAAAAGTAAACAAGAAGATGAGTCGAGAGAATTAACAGAGTTTCACAAGTATAAGAGTGAAACAATGGAAAGTGGTAGAAAGGAGTATGGAAGATCAAAGAGACTGAATACATCTTCGCCATTGACAACGATTTTGAGCCATATCACCTATTGTCTCCAGCCATTGGTTCCTAGAGTCCCGAGGGCCCCAACCCGGAAGTCTGCATCTCCCTACCTGACTCAGTTTAACTGTCAAGGATTTGATGGATTGATGCCATGTTTTTGTTTGGCCACCAGTTACTCTTTTCCAACCTGCACCTATATCAGCTAGTAATGCCCATCGAGGAGTAGAGGCGATGGTTAGGTAGACATGCGCAGCACGTGATCTAGCCAACTCAGTCTATGCAACTTTATAGCCTCGTCGATTGATTTTCCCCCCTTGCCTAACACTACGTTTAAGGTCAAAATTACTTGCCTTATTAAACCACCTAACGCGAGGAAGATTGTAGACATCTGTGATCAAAAACAGTCAACCTTTTCATGTCTTCAACTCGTATTGGCCATGTTTCAGAGCCATATAGAGGGACGGAGTGAATTGGTGAGCGGTACACACGTCACGCCTACGCCAGAGATGGTGTAAGTCAGCGAAAGCAGCTCGAGCTTTAGGAATCCGTGCTGAGATTTGGTCGCCAATCAGTCTGTTGGTGCTGATACAACTTCCCAAATAGGTGAAGTGGTCAACATGTTCTATCACTTCACTCCTTATCACTTAGCTAGGAGTTGACGTCGTCCAGTCCTGTAGCAGCATCTTACATTTTGTAGGGGCCCTTACACGACTACGTCAGTTTCAATAGAGTGCCTTGATTAGTGCAACGTGCTTTCTTGACACTCCCTTCACAGTCAGACATTGCCATAGCACCTTTCGATCCACGAAGTCGAAGGCCGCCTTCAAGTCAAGAAATATGGGAATTGTTGGACGCTGAAAAGTGTGTCTATGTTCGAGAGTGAAGATTTGATCTATGCTCCTCCACCTGGTGTAAAGCCTGCTTGATTTTCCCTCGTTTGTTCCTCCCGAGTTCTGCTTAGTCTGTGCCTGATTACTAAGCCTAGGATTTTAGAAACTATGTTCGTTAGGCTGATCCCCCTATGATTATCGCACGAGGACTTGTTTCCCTTCTTGAATATCGGTATAATAAGCGACTTACCCCAGAATGATGGAACCGTCTCTGATTCCCAGACTTTGCCTAGTATCTCAGTTAATCTACACTCTAGTATGTCACCCCCATATTTAAACATCTCCGGAATAATTCCGTCGGGTCCTGCCGCTTTGCCTCGTTTCAGATTACAGATAGCTTTTGTGACCTCACTCGCAGGGAAATAAAAAGGGCCAAAATTATGTTAATAACAACAAACCAAATCATAGGTTTCACGCTTAACATTGTCTCTGTCACTTAGAACACGGGCCAAATATGGTATCGTTGAGTTCCTATACTCGGTTGTACGAGCATATATTATTTTGTACTGATTTCTGGTTCTACCTGATGAGATGCAGGGAGAGAGTTGGGAATAGAGGGGGTATTGGGGGTCAGAGAGTATGGTTTTAGACCATTTCTCACATGTATTCAGATGCCTTTGTACTAATGTAGTGATGGGCTGACTGAGTTTTACACCACTAGTCCTACTAATTACCATCATTCTGAGGTCCTTTTTCAGTAACCCAGAAAAGACTAATGGGGAGCAGTAAAGTAGAATGGGTAAGATACGAGAGTTGACAAATTGGGAAAGCAGAGGTTGAGTGATTCCAGTAAGTCTGAGTTTTGTAATGTAGTAGGTTAGCCGGAACACTTTCTTAAAAATAGCTTGGATATGAGATGACCAAGTAAGGTCGGAAGATAGAACTAATCCGAGGTATTTTGCATTAGACTTTGTTTCAATTATAGTCCCCTCAGTTCTACGGACATCATGAGTGCTTACTAGTGTTTGTAGATCTCGTTTATGTCTAAAGAAGAAGTCACTAGTATAGCATTTTGAGAAACTCAGCATGAGGCCATTTAGTTTAGACCACTGACTGATATCCGACAGGAAGCTATTTAATTTGAAACAGTCTGACTGAGACTTAACGGGAAGCGAAACAGTCAGGTCATCTGCATATTTGACGAAGTTGATTTCATCTGAAAGAGGTATGTCATGTAAGAGGAAGGAAAAGAGAAACGGAGGGAGAACAGCACCCTGAGGAACTCCAGCTTCAGTACGCAAATGAGAGGAAGCTACACCATACTGTGTACTGCATCCTATTAGAGAAGTAAGAGTGCAGCCCGTTGAGGTCTCGTAATACCTTGGTGCACATTTTCCGCTTCATTGGTTCGCAAAATACATTTCCCCTAATTGTTATATTGGCGAGTTTGTTGAGAGATGAAATTTATAGTCTCTCCCAAATCATACGTTATTTCTTGGAAATTATTCAGATTGATATTTGGTTACTAAATAAATAACGATTGTTTCTCAGTGGTTTCTTTAATAACTTCATTAACTTCAAATCATCAGGGAGAATTCTCGGTTTTCACGCAATTCAGAAGTCGTCTTCAAGTTAGATGTAACCACAATGTGAATTGTAGTCATCAGTAAGCAGAGTATGTTTGTCTTTCAAATTATAGTGCATTAGATTCCAACCTGTGCTGTCAAGAACAACTACAATCTTAATTACGCCTTGCTTTGAGATGTGACTGATTGGTTGAAGCACTCAACATTTAGCCGATGGGTCAGGGAGCTCAGATACAACTCTGGTTACATCATACATTGATAGCATAATCAGCCCGGTGTTTAGTAAATCTGTCCCACTGAAGTGACTTCTAACATGACTTACTGGTTTCAAAATGGAACTTAGCAGAGAAGTGTAGCAGTTAGTTCAAGGTGCTACGTTCTATGAGGTACACAATGGTAGACAAAAGGGAAAAAAGGTATTCAAGACCTTTTAAATGAGCAGAGATGTGAGGGAGTAAGCATAGTAACATGGACTCATAAGGGTTTGATAGATATGAGAGATCATAAAGAGTTGGAAACATTTTACCTTAATAGGAAACGTAAAAGAGGTAGGCACTATTTAAACTTCCATCCTGAAATGTGTATACTCGTGCAAGTGTGCTTAAAAACTGTCCCCTAAAGACAAACGTTAAGGTGACTATTATGCTTCTGCTGTTTCGTCGATTATTTCCAGAGTATCTTGAGATCGTTTAATCTTATGGGTTGCACGTTCTAATGAAGACTATAGTTTACTGCACCGGACTGGTGGACTGAATCATGCGACAGGCCTTAAGAGGCGAGAAAACAGGAATACGTTTGACCGACCAAAAACCCGAATAGGCCTGAACTCCGCAGACTGTCTGGGTTCAATGTCCCACTGTGCGTCGATGGCACAGTGGTCAGGACTCTCGCCGACCATGCACATAGTCCAAGGTTCGATTCCCTGCCGACGCACACCTGATATCTATGGTCGGCCTGCGAAGTTTAGGCTACCGATGTCCATGCTTAAAATTCCATACTTGTACCAAAAATACAGTGTGGAATCAAGCTGGAATCAAAAATAAAAAAATCAAATAAATCCAAAGACGTACGGATAAGAACCAACAAACTAACTGAAAAGACAGCAAAGACAGGACTCCATGTGGACGTAGAGAAGACGGAGATGATGAAAATGACCAAAAAACCGGCATCAATCATCATTAAAGGAGAGAAGTATGTAAGAACAAAGCAAGAACTACAGTTTTAGCAGAATAAAATGGTATCATCTTTTATTTCGTTGCCATCTCGTCAGCTGCTTACATGGCAAAGACATTAATTAAATATATCTACCACAACAATTTTCACATATTTGCACAGAGTTCATTTTAAACAAAATATCAATCGATCAGTATACGCATACACTATATATATATATATATATATATATATATATATATATATATATGCAATGATAAACACTATTCCGAACAATAAAGGTCATACACAATGGAAACTTTAAGCATTTCGCATTCGGAAGAAAGAGAGGTGAAAATATCCTGTTACCAAGGGGAAGAAAGACTGAAGCCGTTTACACTAAGCGCCTGAAACCTGACTTATGCGTCCGGAAAGAAGCGGTTATCAGTCTTTCTTCCCCTTGGTAACAGGATATTTTCACCTCTCTTTCTTCCGAATGCGAAATGCTTAAAGCTCCATTGTGTATGATCTTAATTGTTCGGAATAGTGTTTATCATTGCATATATATATAGTGTATGCGTATACTGATCGATTGATATTTTGTTTAAAATGAACTCTGTGCAAGTATGTGAAAATTGTTGTGGTAGATATATTTAATTAATGTCTTTGCCATGTAAGCAGCTGACGAGATGGCAACGAAATAAAAGATGATACCATTTTGTTGTGCTGAAACTGTAGTTCTTGCTTTGTTCAAATTCATTAAGGGGAATAAATGTATGAAATTTGAGAGAAGTTACTTCCTGTCCTCATTTATCTCCTTAAGAAGTATCGCTTCAACCGCAGGTAGTTACGACGGATGAAGCTGTCAAAACCAGACAGAATTGAAAAGACAGGACACAAATTCATCAATTTGAAGTCAGTTTGGAAATCTACACTCAGCATGAAGAACGAAAATTCGAATTTTCAAAACAAATGTAAAGTCAGTTAATGTTTGTATATGGGTGAAAAACTTGGCGTGAGCGTCACTAAAAGCATTTTCAACCGACTACTGCATACTTTCCATAACAGCTTGCTTTTGGTGACTTCATCTTGAAGATCAGATGACCGAACAGAAAGAATCAGCAACAAGAAACAATGATAGTGAACTAACTAAGAACAATTATAAAGTCAGAAATTGCGATGAATTGGGCATACGCTGAGGGGACCATCGAATGACTTCGTGCTAAATGCAGACTATCGGTCGAATGGGAAATGACGAGTGTGTCGCCAGTGCGGTTATGGCATGGAGGAGATGAGAGGTTATGGAAAATCGTGGGGTCAGTTAACTAAAAACGGCAGTAGAAAATAGAAGAACATCTAGATGTGCTGTTCAAGCACTATATTTTGCTCAGAATCCAAGGGAACAATTATAAGTTATATGTAGATTACTGGTGAATTTTTATAGGTCATTTGTTTGATACTTGGTCTTCGAAAATTTTTCTCTAACCGGTTGAAACGTTCAACCGTAATAGTAGTTGCAACTAAAGCTAAGCTTCGACATACTGTGGTGTTTCCCATAATAAAAGTCTTCAATATTATCCATTAAACGTCATCGAACAACACTGAATTGTTAATAATGATTAAGCAATTCCATTTAAGTAAGAGTAGGAATTCACGATCTAAGGGTTGTGTTGAATTTATCATTTATAGGTTGTATGATGAAAAAAGGTAGAGAGAGTTACCTCAACAGTATTTACGACGTATTGAATCTTGGTGATGACAACTGTTATGCAGAAAAACTAGGTATCACTGCAGAATACGGTTAATGCAAAGCGTGCATGTGAAGCAGTTTCTCCGAGTCATAGTATCTCTGTCACAGATACAAACTTATTGCATCTTTGCTATACTAACAACGGTCGCCATTGTTCTCCATATGATTTTGTTTTCGAATGACTACGAGGGCTGCAGTTACACTCACAGACCGAATCAACTTCACAGTGAGACATTGCAGGTGTAGAGTAGTGATGACTTGGTATGCTAGATGCGTGCTCTAGCCACGTCATCGACTATCTTCATTAATGCTATCTATGCACACTATACGAATAACAATCTTGAAACCCCAATTACCATATATTGTATGAAAGAAGAACATTCTTGTGTACGTGTGTTATACGCGTTTATTGTTTTTAAAATGGCTAAGAACAGTGTCTTATCAGTACTTTCATTTTTTCCATCTTCCTTATCAAAATTTCTCTAACAGGTAACGATGTCGGGCGTCGGTCGTATTGTGCTCATCAGGTAAAGAGATCTTTTGAACATGCTTACTCTGTCCTTAGCAGTGCTATACTACCTCATTATCGTGTCATACATCCTGAAAACGATACCACAGTACTTGGTCGAATTATTTCTGTTCACAAAGTAAGATATTTTTCTGCTGTGTAATGTCACATATTTGTATGAATATCGGTTGTGGTAGATGCTTCATAAAAAAACTAATTTTTTGGCATTTAAAAAAGACCAAACACTAACCGCATAATTTTCATTTCCTTAGTATGTTAAGAATATGATTTCAGAATCAGAAGTCAGTCTTAGGCTTTTGGATTGGAGAAGGCAAGACTTCGAAGCAGTGGTGTGTAGTATACGAGTTTTGGTTAGCAGGGGACTGACTGGTTGCAGCGTTTCATCATGAGCTGATATCGAACAGAGAGCCATCGAAAAACCAGCTGGAAGTATTGTAAGAAAGCCATTCCGTCATAGATTGAGACTGCTTCAGTAAGACGCACCCACCCCACCGGGATCGCAGAGATAAGAAAAGATGAGGAATTTGACTGTGGGATTGCACTGACAGCTGAAACAAAACGTGAATACATATCCACACCGAAAGCTGCTACCTTGACGTGGTGGTCGGGCTTGAACACCGCAATGATCTATTCAAGCTATACTGGCTGAGACTTATGTCTCTTGAGGTCCTACCATGCCAGGCAGGTTGTTTGGATAGCGGTTAAACAAAAAGCAGCTACCCAATCCAACATCATGACAAATACAAAATAACAAAATTTCATCCCGGACCGGCCGTGGCCCGGATTAACAACGACCGCGCTTCCTGCTGCCGTGTCACAGGGCAGGAGTGAGGCACACCAAACAAAAAAGAACGAATAAAAACAGGCCGCGTGTGACCGGCCTCAAGCAGTTGTCCCCTGAGCTCTGCGGTCACGCAACCAACTTCCACGGTGTGGGCAGCCGGGATGTAACAATCGCCCTCACAATCCGAAACGCACACAAAACCTCTCTAATCCTTACTCATCTTTGTCTTCATCTTCATCTCTATCATCTTGACTTCCTTCCACTGATACGACTCCTCGACTTGATAGCTCTCCACTTCCTCTCCACTCTGCATCCACTAAAAACGATGGAAGCCAAAAAACCACCACCGACAGCCTCTTAAAGCCGCGCCACCAATTTCATACGGGAGCTTTTAATGTTAGGACAACAAGCATCACTAGCCAAGACTCTGGCATCACGAGCCATTGATGTATGCTGTGTTTCAGAAACACGCATACAAGACCCAAGTGTGGTTATTCACCTAACCCCACCTGGCCAACAGGTTGAATCTGCAAAATTCACCTTGAGGGTGTCAGGAGATGCCACAGCTAGTTCACGAGGATTAGCTGGCGTAGGGATAGCTTTGAGTACTAGGGCAGAAAAGACATTGCTTGACTGGATCCCGGTAGATAGCCGAATGTGTGCTGTCCGTCTGAACGGGTCAGTAAAAAGGAGAAAGGACTGCACTACTCGCCGATGCCTTTTCGTAATCTCCGCCTACACCCCCACTGACTGCAGTTCAGATGAAACGAAGGATGAGTTCTACCAAAAGCTGTCTAGTTTGCTGCGAAAGGCTAAACGCTCAAACATAGTCGTTCTAGCTGGTGACTTTAACGCTCAAGTAGGGAAATTGTGTCAATCTGAGAAGGATGTCGGTGGCACCTATGGAGTCCCGTGCCAGCGAACCGACAACGGTGACCGTCTCCTACAGTTCTGTTCTGATAATCATTTGTTTCTTGTAAGCACTAACTTCAAACACAAGGAGAGACACTGTTTGACTTGGAGACCCCCTTCATCAAACCAACGCTGGACACAAATAGACCACATAGCAATAAGCTATCGTTGGCGTGGGTCGGTAGGAGATTGTCGCTCCTTCTGGAACACGTGTGTGATACCGATCACGCACTGGTCCGCGCTCGGGTGTGCTTACGACTGAACGGACGTAGGAAACAGCTGGCGGTAAAACCATCACGTCCCCAGCTCGATCAGGAAACTAAATCCGTATTTGAGGAAGAACTAGCTAAACACATATCTGTGTTCGACAGCTGTGCTCACCCTGAAGAAGCTTGGAAGAATATCCAGGCAGCCATAGATACAGCTGTAAAAGCTGTGAATAAGTTAAATCCAAAGGTGAGTAAAAACCACTGGATCTCCACCGCCTCATCCGAACTGATAGATGCTAGGAGACTTATTCCGGCGAGCTCCGAATTCAATGAGGAGCGAAAGCTGCACGAAAGGAAACTTACAAAAAGTCCCATGCAGGGAGTGAGGTGTTGGGTAGTGGAAAGTTGGGTGTGGCTGTAGGCTAGTTAAAAAAGCTCCTCAAAATATTAGCTTCAACGTTCCAGGTAATTAGAGAGCTGTTTTTCTCGCACGGTATCTCTCTTATCATCTGCCCTTTTCCACCTGTTTCTTGGCTATGACTACATAATTATTCTTTGTTATCTATCGCCGATGTCTCTCCCATCTCTATTGCTTTTATCGCCCACCACTGTTCACGGCCATTGCTAAAACTCTTACTCCTGGTCAGTTTGCGTCTCAGCAGTTTCCTGTTGTCATCAAGTTCGGAGGTCGTCTGAATCAGTCTTGTATCAGTCAGTTCGGACGAGGAAGCAGTTGGATTACCAGCACTTTACCTATGCTTCTACAGGGGACTGGATATTGTGCTAATCTTCCTTAGTATGGATCTTTTAGTCTATCTCAGATACGCATCTGGCTATTTATTCCTTGACTAGAGATGTAGTGTTCTGATTAATTTCGACGCGTAGCACCTTCTTCTGTATCGGCTCAATAATAAGCATATACAGGCACGAACCACAGCTTGACCAGAGTCTAAAAGCACGTGCTGCAGTAGCACCGGTAGTTTTCAACCGAGCCTCACCACCATCGGTAGCTAATCTGAACGTGCTCTATTTGAGTAAATCGTTGATTTGACAGTGAAGGTCACCAAGCTAGATAATGTTTCTCTTTATGTTAATGTTGATAACGAACAGTTGAGTCCCTATTTAGAACTTAGCACCGTAAGGTAAGTCGGAATACACGGTTTCCGGAGTTGACCTTGTTAATCCTGAGTCTCAACAGCGTCAACAACCTTGTACGTTTTCTAAGAGTGAAACACTTTACTGCTCTCAAAACCCAACTCAACATCAGCATAACTTTGCCAGCAGATTGTAAATAGATTACTCTATGATAGCAACTGCTTCTTGTCTTACTACTATACAAACAACATTACAAGGTAGTTAGGACCTGAAGACACATTTTCTCTAACTGATATAGCTCATCGAGTTACTGCGATATGCATGCCTAGGAGGTGAGTCAGGCAATCTCAGGTATCTTTACTTTGAACAAACCAGTTTTAACGTGAGAGTCTGCCAATTTCTGGTTGAATTGAAATTTGCACCACAGCTAAAATCCAAACCGATTAGTCTTAGGTCTACCGAGTGGCAGGAGAGCAACCCAGAAGTCGCTTCTCTCTAAACTATATCTTAGTGTAACAATTCCTTTCTCAGGCATGAGGCCAGCAACCCCACCCGGTAAGCAAATTTGCTACAGAAACTTCAGCACGATGAATCTTCTTGCACCAAAAGAAAAAGTCTGTGTGGGGACATGGAATGTCCGCACTATGTACAAGATTGGCAAAGCTACCCAGATCGCAAACGAAATGAAACGATACGGAATTCAAGTACTGGGGATATGTGAAAGCAGATGGAACGGGAATGGACTCACCAAATTGTCAACGGGTGAGTCAGTGATCTACCCCGGTCACCCAGAAGATAACCACACTCACACCGAAGGCGTGGCTGTCATGATGTCACCAACGGCAACAAAGACCCTGATGCAATGGGAGGCGATCTCGTCCAGGATATGACCGCCAGATTCAACTCTAAAGGAATGAAAGTGTCAATTATACAATGTTATGCACCCACAAACAACGCAGACCACGAAGAATTCTGCAGACAACTACAGGTAGCAATGGACAATACTCCAGCTGGTGACATTAAGATACTAATGGGAGACATGAACGCCAAACTGAAACCAGGCAACACGGGAAGGGAACTCATCATGGGTAGAGAAGCTCTAGGAGAAATGAATAAAAATGGAGAACTCTTCGCCTTTAACGAACTAGTGACTGGTGACAGCGTATACAAACACAAAGATATCCACAAGGCTACATGGGTGTCACTAGATGGGCAAACCAAAAACCAAATTGACTTTATCTCAATCTCAAGGAAGTGGAGGTGCAGCCTACTGGACACAAAAGTAAGAGGAGGAGCAGACGTTGGCTCAGACCACTATTTCGTAAAAGGGACAATCCAAATCAAATTAAGAGCTTTCAGGGAAACAGGAGCTGCAGATAGACCACAAGCCAAGTTCAACACTGAGAAACTGAAGGACCAGGCTACAAAGGATATCTTCATCGCAAACATAAGGGAAAAATCCGAGACACATCAACACTATCGAAGACGTCGGCGTCGTAAAGCACTGGGACAACCTGAAGGCGGTGTGGAGCCAAACCTGCATGGAAGTTCTAGGCAGAAAGAAGAGGCAGCACAAACAGTGGCTCACTGCGGATACTTGGAAACCAGTTTACGCCGACTCTGGCGTAGACGAGATGTTCGACTATCGACCAAAGGGCGGGTGTACTGCTCATCAGTCCGCTCCGTGCTCCTTTATGGTTGTGAGACCTGGTCACTGAGAGTGGAAGACATGAAAAGACTAGCTGTCTTTGATCATAGGTGCCTGCGCTCTATTTCCCGTGTAAAGTGGCATAATAAGGTGAGCAACATTGAAGTCAGGCGTCGAGTTCTAGGTAAACAGGGGAAATCAATCGACGAGGTTATGAAGTTACAAAGACTGAGATGGTTAGGACATGTGTTACGTATGCCAAGCCATCGCCTCCCTCGACGAGCAATGTTAGCGGATATAGGGTCAGGCTGGAAAAAAGCTAGCGGCGGTCAAACGAAAACTTGGCACCAGTCAATGAAATCCACAACAGTTGGTCTAAGCCACGTAGGAAGGTGTAGACTTCCAGGCTGGGGTCCTTGGGACGGTAAAAATCTATGGTTGGAAACAATTGGTGACATGGCTCAAAATCGTTCTCAGTGGCGCAGATGCACCCACTCCTACTGACTTATGATCTCCAATGAAACTGTTTTGTTTTTCTTTATTACTCCTTTGTCTCACACATCTGCTCACTGTTTCTATTATGCTTTTCTTGTACTTTCTCCTCTTGCTTCGCGTGCTACACGGAGTGTGGCGACTTGAACTTCTGCACATTTGTGCAAAGTTCTATGTCAAAAACAGACAGACATTGAATTAGTCATGCAGAAAGACACGTGCGAATGTTTTCTAGGTCATTTTCAAATATATAAGGGGAGAGGGAGTATGAGAGATTAAAAATAAGATAAAATGCAGTACGCTTCAATTACATCACTTAGATAAACAATTAGTCATTAGAGAATATATCAAGAATTGCAAACAGAGTAATATCAATAGCGAAATCCTCAAAAGAATGCATACTGCACAAAGAATACACTTTTCGATAACTTCATCATCATCAGGCTCTAAAGTTATACATACATTACAGTGATGTATGAATTATTGTTAGGAACAACAATAATGTTGTTTGAGTAACATCCAATCAGTAATATTGATAAATTTACAGCTCAATCGTATCAACATAAAATAAGCTGGATGTCAGAAAAATTAGGGAAGATAATGATACAAATTCATGAATTTATAGTCTCTAGTGACAAACCAAGGCAGTAGAAGGGGCTGTTCAGTATCCATTCTTATGAGAATTTTAATAGCAAATTCCTCAATAACAAAACATCTTGTGGACTACGGATATGATATCGACGCGATCAAGTCATTCACTATTGTTGGCAGACAAATAAACAAGAAGATGCTTGCAATTACAGAGGCTTGTGCAATTCGAGTTTATAAGCCGGGTCTCTGTGTACAATAAAAGATGGTCGTTATTCTGAATCTACCATTGTAATACGTTTTACTTACTATTCTACCTCATTATTATTATCACTGTTGATACATTTAAAACTCTCTTTTATCAGTAGCATTATCTTAACTTACTTCAACATCACTATTATTGTTATTACTATTATAACTATTAGTATTGATATTACTCTGTTTGCAATTCTTGATATATTCTCTAATGACTAATTGTTTATCTAAGTGATGTAATTGAAGCGTAATGCATTTTATCTTATTTTTAATCTCTCATACTCCCTTATAGATAAGATTTTATTTTGATAAATCGCACAGTGTTTACAGTTATATGAACTGATAACGTTTCGAGCACAAACTATTGCTCATAATCATATCAAGTTACTCACACAACTTTGATCTCTCATTTATATACATGTGTGGAATGGATTAGATATTGGATTAAAAATCAATGTGAGATAATGTACATTCAGAAATAATCGTACGAGTGTTGTTGATCAATTGCAATTAGATGGGAAAATTGGACGAGTGTTTTTACAGTCATAATAAGCTGCTTGTTAGAATGTGTTTGAATTGAAATAGAATTTTAAGATTATTTATTACCCTCTTCTGATTTGACCTGCGGTAATAATATCTTCCATATCTCTGGTATTTGCATTGAGTCATTTTTGTTGCATGTGTTGGGTGTGGACTCGATGAATAAGGATTCCGTAATCAACCTCTCTCTCCACTTAGCTATATTACTTTTTAGAATTTTAACCCTATCCCACCCTATTGTGTGGTTGTTTGTTATTGCATGAAGTGCAATCGCTGAGCTTTTTTCTAAATTACTTATCTTTTCAGGGTCAACCATTCTTACCTTAGCTAAATTCTTATGTTCTGTTAATCTGACTATCCCTGACCTACTAGTTTGACCTATGTAGTTGACCTCACAGTTATTGCAGGGTATTTTGTAAATTATATTATTTTGTTTAATTGGATCCACCGGGTCTTTTAGCCTACAGAGCTTGTCTCTGAGTGAGTTTGTAGGTTTGAATGCCACCCTAATTATTAAACAAAATAATATAATTTACAAAATACCCTGCAATAACTGTGAGGTCAACTACATAGGTCAAACTAGTAGGTCAGGGATAGTCAGATTAACAGAACATAAGAATTTAGCCAAGGTAAGAATGGTTGACCCTGAAAAGATAAGTAATTTAGAAAAAAGCTCAGCGATTGCACTTCATGCAATAACAAACAACCACACAATAGGGTGGGATAGGGTTAAAATTCTAAAAAGTAATATAGCTAAGTGGAGAGAGAGGTTGATTACGGAATCCTTATTCATCGAGTCCACACCCAACACATGCAACAAAAATGACTCAATGCAAATACCAGAGATATGGAAGATATTATTACCGCAGGTCAAATCAGAAGAGGGTAATAAATAATATTAAAATTCTATTTCAATTCAAACACATTCTAACAAGCAGCTTATTATGACTGTAAAACACTCGTCCAATTTTCCCATCTAATTGCAATTGATCAACAACACTCGTACGATTATTTCTGAATGTACATTATCTCACATTGATTTTTAATCCAATATCTAATCCATTCCACACATGTATATAAATGAGAGATCAAAGTTGTGTGAGTAACTTGATATGATTATGAGCAATAGTTTGTGCTCGAAACGTCATCAGTTCATATAACTGTAAACACTGTGCGATTTATCAAAATAAAATCTTATCTATAATGGAATTATATTCTTTCTTATTTGTGTTATCATTAATAGTTTCACCATTATTTTTATTTTGGTTTTTGTTGATCTTACTAATGAATTTTACAGGATAGTTATTCAACACCAACGCTTCTTCTATCTGTTTTATTTCATCATTTAGGTCTTTTTTTGTGCTACTTAGTGCTATGGCTCGATTTGTTAGACACTTTACTAAGCCTGGCTTAACAGTTAACGGATGAGACGAATTAAAGTCTAAATATCTATTAGAATGCGTTGGTTTTCTATAAACACTAGTGTGTAGTTTGCCTTCTTCTATTCGTTTTATTTTACAATCTAACATAGCTAATTCTCCTAGTTCATTTTCTGATACCACAGTGCCCAAGTTTTATACTTATATCAATAATCTCATACTCCCTCTCCCCTTATATATTTGAACATGACCTAGAAAACATTCGCACGTGTCTTTCTGCATGACTAATTCAATGTAGTTTGTTTACTTATCAGTCTAATATCTCCCAATGTAATTTCAATAGTATGTATATATATCCGTGTATGTAGAGTATTCAGCTGACGAGTTCTACCGATATTTGATGAATTCATGAAATCCTGCTTTATTAACCTTTAAATTCGTATCGGGAAATAAATGTTTTCAATAATTTGAGTCACCTAGTGGAAAGCTGTAACTCGAAGACGCCAACAGAATAAAAACCATTAAGTTGGCAGCGAAGGTAGGACTTAAAAACCAGGATTAGAAAGGGGAAGTTACGAAAGCCTTCACTTCGATAAAATCACTTTGGAAATCTGCTGCACTTCACACAGAGAACAAATTTCCTATTTGTTACATAAGTCAGTCAGTGTTTTTAAATGGGTCAGAAACTTGGTGCTCGTGTCAAGAAAGGACTTCTAAAAGGCTATCGCAGATTTTTATCAACAACTGCCTTCTCTGGCTCCACATTGAAAATCAGAAGTCCAGAAATTGAGTTTGCAATAAGAAATTCTGAGCATGAACTAACCAAGGACCTATTGCTCGATAAATGTGTCCAAGGAAGGAAATGGAGATGGATTTTTCGATACATGCTGAATATCCCCTGAAATGACGTCGTACGCCAGGCAACCGCACAGCTGGAACACGAATGAATAGGAAACGGCGAGTTGCGTATCTGAAAGTGGCGTGAAGGAGATCGTGTGGGAAACAGTTGAGAGCTTGTGAATGACCGTAAACAGCCAAAGAGGACTCTTGAGGAGAGCAGGGTGAAATAAAGATGCACTGTTGAAGGCTTGTGTGTAGCTCAAGGGAATTACATTAATTTGATTGAACGGAGGATTTCATCATGAGCTGACGTAAGTTAGAAAACCTGGTAGTACTGGGCAGTTGTTTCGTCCTAGTTTGGGACTCCTCAGCAATATGCATCCACCGGTTTTCGAACCCACGACCTTCTGGTTACAAGGCGAGCTGGTAGACCATTTCTTCAGAATTTTATACGCTAACTTCAAGTAATTTGTAATCTTCATCTGTTGGTTTGGAAGGATTTGATTGATTACTGGATTTCATCACAAACTGACCGATTAGAAAAGTCAGCTAGGAGTACTGAAATGGACAGCTATTTCGTCTTCCCAGTGCTTGGGGCTCTGTTGAAGCATTATACACTCACGCCATGGTTTGGTTATAAAGGGGTGCTGTTAGATCATTTCACCGTAAGGGTCTGATTTCAAACCCCAGTAGTGTGGGTGCGTACTAATGAAAGGAGTCCCAAGCACTAGGCAGACGAAACAGCTGTTTATCACAATACTGCTAGCTGGTTTTCCAATGGTTATCTATCCGATTTCAGCTCATGCTGAAATTAGTAATCTGATCAAATCTAATGTGGGTTATCTAATGATTCTGTTCAAATTATAGGATTGTGTTGTATTAAGTAAACTTATTGGCAGCATATTTTTTATTTACCTCTAGTTTAATGTCTAACTTACCAGTTTTTATTTGCACTCTAGTTACCACTGTTAACCACTTTTGTTAAATTGGTTCTTGAATACCCTACAGAAGTCAGCTGAATTCCGCAAAAACATTATGAGGTATGCTACACGCTTGCATCTATCTCTGATGTACAGAACGTTGCCACCATTCAAAAGGCCACTGGCTGCTTATTCTGCGGCTACATGGGTTAGTCGGTGCATCATAAACAACATGCACAGAAGCCGCTTAGAGTCAGATGACCGACGGGACAGTTCATCTGCACAGTTATCAATACCAGCCGGTGCTCTTGAGGATCTGGCACCAGGTGTTTCACTTCCGCTGGCCTGGCCTCTCGAACGAACTCCTATTGTACCCAAGTTTGAAAAACCATTTACTGTTTTTCTTACTGATGAAGATATTGCTGCATCAACTAGAAAGACTCCTAGTGTTCTTAGCTCTGGTAGCTGTGATGATCACATTGAGGTGATTAGTTCTGAGTCTTCAGATGAGGAGGAATTTAAAGCAAATAACAATGGAGGAGGAGCTAAAGACGGGGAATCTGGGGAAAACAATATGCTGGCTGCTGAGCGGTAAGTTATGTAAACATTGATAGTCTCAAGCATTTTTTAAAGGGTAACCATATTTTATGGCTTGCATCTCTATTCCTAATAAGAAATAAGCAAAGGCTAGACATCGATAAGATTACTACCATCAAAACTGTCTTATTTATTTATTGTAGACGTACCTTCGTTACAGGATTCTGTAATGAACTGACGTTGGTTAGGGAGTAGTCGGGAAACCAACTAGGAGTACTTCCAGACAGACGTTTCGTCCTAGCTTGGGACTTCGCCTCAGTAGTACGCACCCACCTCACTGGGGTTCGAATCCATAGCCTTCCGGTTGTGAGGCTAACAAGTTTGTCGACCAACCATTGAGCCACCGGGACCTGCTTATCCAGTGTCGAGTCAGCCCGTGAATTCCAACTTCTGTAAATTTACCCACCATATGGCGCCGATGGCCTCCGGTGGCCAGTATTTGTCGTCACTCGATGTTGTACCTCACTGGTCACCACTTCCCACTAAAACCCAGGTAACCACCTACCTGAATAGAACCAGTCTACGAGCTCGCCTTGTAACTGGAACGGCTGGGGTTCAAGCCTCGGTGGGGTGGGTGCGTCCTGCTGAAGCGGAGTCCCAATCTATGGCGAAACGGCTTTCTGGCAGTACTCTCAGCTGCTTTTCTGATATCAGCTCATAATAAAATCCTGTGAGCAATGAAGTCTTTCAAAACAAACACTCAACGAAACGTATGTTATCAATGATATCTGTATTTGTGTGTGAAAACCTTGCCCTGGTAAATGTGCATCTTACTTCGATGTTAATTATCTTGTCCAACAGTGACTACTTCCGCAATGGTGAGTTATTTCTTTTAACTACTACTCTTTTATTTTCTAACCTACAGCTGTTATTAATGTTAAGATACTTTTTACAATCTATTTCAGTGCTTCCTTAACTACCGTTAATCAAGTGAGAAAAAAGCACATTTCAACTGTTAATAAGGATTCGTTTGGATGTTCATCACGTAAACCGCATCAAAGTCGTAAACGACGCTGTGTACGTACACAAACACCTTCACAAACATATGTGAGTAACTCTACAAAACACCCAGAAGCAGCTTCATTAATCAAAGATGACCGTGCGAGTATGCGGGACACTATATTCCCAGGACAGAGTACAACCTTTCAAAATCGTTACCATAGGAAAAGTAACTTTCAAAAGGCTTTTGGGAAAGCCCATCAAAATCCACTGCCTAATGCTATGAACTCTAGTAGATCTCAGGTTGTTTCTACGTGCCCGAGTGATTCGAATACTAATAATTTTTCTTGCTCTTCTCAAGCGCACAAACGCCATGCAGCGAGTTCTAGGCGTACAAAATGAATGATACAAGTTGTAAATAGTTGCCATATACTCACCATGCCTATTAGACGGGCATATTTTTATTCTTATCCTTTTAAGATGATATACCCTGGAAAACTTTGTTTCCACTATATATCTTAAAAAGAGTGTATCGACGTTTTGTCTTCCAATATGTATGATAATATTTTCCCCTTTTTTTACTAAACTTAAAAATAATGGATGTCATAAGCACGAACTTTGTGTGCGTGTGTTGAGGCAAAAACATAGAGACAAAAAAAATAATAAATATGCAGTCTCTTGTCTATTGAAAAGCATTTTGTGCAAAACTCCCTGCTTTCTCACTTATTGCTGGTGTTTTATATATTTCCCCTGTGTGCTTTATGTGGGCACTGCGTATTTAGTTTTTTGAACTTTCAAAAAACTGACACTGTGATTTTATGAAATCTATGCGCAGTTGCCTTTTGACTAATCTAATGCATTCATTTTGATCTCATACTCAATGTGTTAATGCATATTCTAGATTTTCTTATATTTTTCCTTATTTATTATTATTAATAATATTATTATTAATATTGGGAGAACTTTCCACGCTTGTGTTGTCAAACGTTGTGTAACAAGCTTGTACTGACTCCTAATAATGATGTGGCTGTGTGCTGTCAGATAGTCAACAAATATGCATTTTCTCCCCTCTATGACGAATGTTTTCGACGAATAAAGTCACACTCTTTTGATTATATTCTTTTTTCAAGTATTGGTTTTGTAGGGATTTTGTTTGATTGCATGGAGGATTTTTTCATGAGCTGACATCAGTTAGAGAACCGCTGGAAAACCTGGTACTACTGGGCAGTTGTTTCATCCCAGTTTGGGACTCTTCCTCAGTACGCACCCACCACAGAGGTTCGAACCCAGGATCTCGTTATAAGGCGAGCTCGTAGGCCATTGAGCCACTGGGACCCGATCCAATGGTCCTTGAATTCTAACTTCTACCAAATCACGATATATATATAGCGAGACCATTCTGCAATGTCTTCGATGAGTTACTGCTCCATCTTGTTTTTGTGTAACACTAGGGAATTGACTCATTAACAGAAATGGTTGAAGTGATTATTATTAACTCCTGCCTAATTTCATTAATTTCTGTTTATAATATCAGAACAAGACATTTAAGCGAACAATATTGTTTTCAATTAGATCTTTTTCAGGTTTTACTCTAATTTACATAGACTTATATATAAATATTTTTAACCAATGACGGTGATTTTGTGGATCAAATAATGATAATAATGTGGTAAATGTTTTGAACGAAATTAATAACGATGATTATAATGATAACAAAATATTGATAATAAGGTTTATACAGGTGATAATACATTCCTGTCTTCAGTCACAAAATATGCTGAAAATGTTAAAAAAAGAGTAGTGTGTTATGAGAATATTTGGAATAAGAATAGAAGTTGGGCACTGTGGTAGAGTGCTGTAATTGTATTATGGAGAAAAAATCTTATTTTGACAAAGTTTCACAGTTTTTTTTAAAAAAAGTCAACGAATTCTAATACATATTCAGATACTTAATTCACCTCATCCGTTATCTATGAAGACAGGCTTAGTTATGAGTGTCCGACAAACTGAGCAATAACTCTACCAATGACGGTGATTTTGTGGATCAAATAATAATAATAATGTGGTAAATGTTTTGAACGAAATTAATAACGATGATTATAATGATAACAAAATATTGATAATAAGGTTTATACAGGTGATAATACATTCCTGTCTTCAGTCACAAAATATGCTGAAAATGTTAAAAAAAGAGTAGTGTGTTATGAGAATATTTGGAATAAGAATAGAAGTTGGGCACTGTGGTAGAGTGCTGTAATTGTATTATGGAGAAAAAATCTTATTTTGACAAAGTTTCACAGTTTTTTTTAAAAAAAGTCAACGAATTCTAATACATATTCAGATACTTAATTCACCTCATCCGTTATCTATGAAGACAGGCTTAGTTATGAGTGTCCGACAAACTGAGCAATAACTCTACTATGTATCACATTAACAAACCTTAATGAGACAGACGGAAGAAGAAGTGGTGTTTTGTGCGTGCAGCTTTCCCATATATTTTATAAGAAAAGCAAAGGTCAAGAGCAAAATTAAATAATTAATAGTGGAACTTAATAATGGTAACATAAGTAAGACTGAATATGGGGCATCTACCTACAGCTTTACCATGTAAGGAAGGGACGTTTGAGACCTTACATGTAGGATTAAGGTGGTGGTGGCATTTAAACCTAAAAACTCACTTAGGTAGGACAGGTTCTGTTGAGTGATGACCTAGTTAGAATACGGCATTAAGAAGACAAATTTCGCGATATGATATCTTTATTTCGTAGTTTCTTTACAACTAACATGGTTAACAGTAATAAAATAAAGTTCATGACAATTACTCAGTTACATACAAAGTACATACTAATGACCAATTATATTTAAATAGGTCATTTAGTCCATGGTAGGCGAAGATTAAAGTCTATTGTTTTTTGTACACACAGTTTAGGCTGTATGTGATTAATCCAAAGTACTTCTATCATCTTCAATATCCTTATGTGAAATAATTGTGAAACGGTCATTAATTAATTGAACAAAATAGCATAATTTACAAGTTATCTTGCAATGATTGTGGGTCAAGTCAACTAACTACAAACAGTTGCATTTTTATTTTAGATCATGGATACTGTTCGTATAGGATGATGTTATACAGCGTCCCGATATGGTAACAGAAGTTTTTAGGAATGGTGAGTTGATACTAGCCAACAGCTTGAAGGATGGTGTGGTACATATCAGCAAGTGGCTTCAGTCTTACTGTAAGTCCGTGCAACTTCTACTACACGGCAAATGGAAGAGAAGAGGCGAGCAGCAGAGCACTACGGAGGAGAAAAAAGTATGTGGACACGGATGGAACTGTAAAATCAGTGTAGATACATGTAAATATTCATTGTACATTGCCGTCTAGTAAACCTACATGCTAATATTCTCTTTTTAGTCACCCATTCGGCTAGTCTGTTCATCGTGTAAAGAGTGGTTGGTCAGGTTTTACGCGTTCTTTAGGTACGATTATACGATTGTAGAAGTTGATTCGTTTTAGAAATAAATAGTTTGTTAATGTAATCAGTCGAATGAAACAGTCTGTACACAGAGCGTTTGAAACTTATAACCGAGGTGTAGGGTCTGACTTCTAGGGACAGACTGTTCCATGTTTTAGAATTCGTGACTGTGAAGAAGTTTTCGTGGAGTGATGCGGTTCAAGAGAATATCAGGTCAGTGAATCAAAGTCATTCAGACTGAGAATACGGTTGTTCATATAAGTGTTAACAAAAAAAACAGACAATAAAAATGTGCATGTCAGTGACAATTTCAAGAATTAGGAAGGTGAGATGTTTTCGCAATTGCACCATCATAACTCTGTTGTGAATTTACATTGATTGAGACAATTAGGACAAGTGATACTCATGCATACCGGCATAGCCATCTATCTCCTTTCTCCACCAACGGCAATCTTATCTTAGCTGGCATAGGATCGATTAGGTTGGAAGAGAGCCAGTACGTGATGGTCAGGCCCATAGCAACAACTAGTTTATGCCAGCCACATAGGGAGGTGTAAATCAGCTTCTTGATTGACTGGTTGGAGTCCTCGGCATACTAAGAACCAATGAAGACTGCAGACAATCAGTGACATGACTCAAAATCGTCGGTCTCAATAATGACTTAAATGTATTCAATTTTTGTTATTTCCAATGTACCATATTGCTCTTATTTATCCCTCACACTTCTGTTTACTATCTGTTTACCTACTGTCTTCTCTTGAGTTGTGTGTACTGTATAGACATGGAGAGAGGCGGTTCGAACCCTGCTGCTGGATATATATGTGCAAAGTTCTGTGTTAAAACCAGTCAGTATAGGCATGATGTTGAAAAATCAGGGATGACATTTGATAACTGACAGCCAGTCTAAGGTAGATTCGTGCTAGTGAATTTCTCTGGCTTTATCTGAACTGACCAATCTAAGTCTACTGGCCACTGTGTGGACACCGAAGGTGAGATGGGTAGCGAAAGAAGTCCCAAAAGCTTCACTATTAATATAAAACTCGGGTACTGTGATAGAGCATAACTCCATTATGGACAAGATATTATTTTGATAAATCACAGTAATATTAACTGATGACCATGTTTCAAGCACAAACTATTGCTCATAATCATATCAAGTCACTCACACAACTTTTTTCTTCATTTATATACGTGATTGGAATTGAGTAGATATTTGAATAAAAATCAATATTTTCTTTTTCTGATTTACAGCTTGATTCCACACTGTATTTTTGGTACAAGTATGGAATTTTCAGCATGGATATCGGTAGCCCAAATTTTGCAGGCCGACCATAGATATCAGGTGTGCGCCGGCGTGGGCTCGAACCCCGGACCATGTGCATGGTCGGCAAGAGTCCTAACCACTGTGCCACCGACGCACAATAATGTACATTCAGAAATAATAATGTGAGTGTTACTGATCAAGTACATTCAGATGGGAAATAAGACGAGTGCTTTTATATAGTCATAATAAGTTACTTGTTAGAATGTTGTGATGTGTTTGAATTGAAGTAGAATTTTAAGATTATTTATTATCCTCCTCTGAATTGACCGGCTGTAATAATATCTTCCATACCTCTGGTATTTGCCTTGAGTCATTCCTATTGCATGTGTTGGGTGTAGACTCGATGAACAAGGATTCAGCAATGAACCTCACTCTCTCACTACCTAGATTACGTCTTAGAATCTTAACACTCTCCCAACCTATTGTGTAGTTGGGTGTTAATGCATGCAGTGCAATTGCTGAGCTTTTTTCTCTAAATTATTTATCTTCTCGGGGTCAAACATTCTTCCCTTAGCTAAATAATCTCAAAATTCTATTTTAATTCAAGCACATCACAACAATCCAACAAGTTACTTATTATAACTTTGAAAACACTCGTCTTA